CTCATGATATGCAGAGTAATGTCAGAGTTGTCCTTTATCATCGGCATCAAGCAGCATCAGAAAACAGTAAAAGCTGCCGGCATCATTGTGTGTGTGTCTTTGAAACTGAGAGAGAGCAACAGTGTGGGTCTTTAAGTGTGTGTTTTGGTGTGTCTGACATTTACCTTCCACACTAAAGGTTCCACCACAGATCTTCAAGTCGTAGGACTCATCTCACACGCGCCACTCATTCTGTGAGGAACGTGGATGACCTCCTATTAAGACAGTTTACATTATCCTTAACTGCACCACAATTTCTCTACTCATTAGAGTTACATAAATTACATATTTTATCGATTTAAAGCATTACACCAGTGCAATTCTTTTCATTTCCCCTTTTTTATCTATTAATTGTCTCTAAACAGATGGCATCTTGCAATAAATTTACAATTGGAAATAAAAGCGAACTGTGTCTCGCTCATAGAGGTGAATGGAAGGAATGGCAGGAATCTGGTTGTGTAGATCACGTTCTGCTTACTCCTTCACATCATCATCTCATTAGGCTTATTCCAAAGAATCACATGAAAGTGTTTACACAAGGAAAATAACGTAAGATGGAAGAAGTGATGGACATATATCGGTGGATCAACCAATGTTTTCATAACGTTGCTTCAAGGAACACACAAGTGATTTTCCTTGTTTTAGCCCATTTACTAGAAAGTAGTAGCAGTCAATAAATACACCTCGCCATCCTCTGGATTCAGGCTACATGACACTGGGCACCTGGCTTTGTACCTAACTGACTCGTGTCAAGTTGCTGTCATCCGTCTTTTGACATCCTGGCTGAACTGACTGACAGGTGACAGCAGGCCCATGACCGCAGCAGAATCTCTTTAGTCCACGAGGTGAGTGGCATTTGCCTGCCAGGTTGCTTTTGTGCTGTGTGACTTAAAAAAAAAAGATATAGAGGCCAACTGATCCATTACTGTTGTCTTTATTACTTCAGAGACACGGCAGGTATGGAGGTGAGCTCTGGCTCCAGGTTGTGATAGCTAGTTATCTGTCATGGGACAGGTACTCATACTGGAGACGCTCATTTAAAAAAAAATAATAATAATAATTGTCAGTGACAAACCTGTTTTTCCATTAGTAACAGTCATGATTGCTGTGAATGGATAATACATCATATTGCTGCAATCTAATTGCCCTCTTCATGTTTCTCGTCCTCTCCACAAATCCTCCAACGCCACCTCTCAGCTGCTGTCAACAACGCTGTGGAAGGAGGAAGAGGAAGTGCTTTTAAAACACTCAAAATGGAACTGTGGATCAGCTACCTAACTAGTTAGCTTTAAAAAAAAAAAAAAGAGTTTCAAATTGAATGGGAATATAACTTCAACAGCTGTCAAAGTCTAATGAGTGCCACTCTCACATACTGCATTGAAAACCAGAAAACTGTCAGAGCTATGTCGTGAGGAGAGCCTGCTGTACAGGTTGAGTCATTTTATCAGGCATATATTTCCCGTTCACCCTTCCTAATATCTTGTCAGTTTTTCTGAACATGTCTTATGCTAATCCTTCAGCGCTTATACCTCCGGAAATCACTCGATGGGGGAGAGAAGATGTACCGGCATCTGTATGGGGCTACATTTAGCATTTAAGCAGCCCAAAACAAGACAGTCAACGTGAGGTGAGTTCAGAGGGTGTGTGTGTGTGTGTGTGTGTGTGTGCGCATTTGAAATAGTTAGTCTCAGTCTTTGTTACTGCGGTGTTTTTGTCAGAGGTCGCTTGCTGATCAAACAGTTCAGGAGGTGTTGGGACATATTTTCTCTTGGATTCTCTCTTGGGGAGAAATAGAATGAGTTACTGGAAGTAAACTGGAAGTAAACTGGAAGTGAACTGGAAGTAAACTGGAAGTAAACTGGAAGCGCCAGACAAATTGTAATACATCTCTCCAATTTGTACCAAAACATTTCCCGTACATGAGTCGTGTGTTCTGCCAAAAGGTTGTCTTGACCCAAACAAAGTCATGAGAACATGACATAATGAAGAGACCAGATGTGCTTTGTTTTTGTTTCAACAGACTGGTTAGATTGGTGGAAAGTAACTTAAGGGGGGTGAATCTTGACTATAAAAGTGATCTGTGAAAAGTAATACTTTGGATTTGTTTCGATTTGCTAAACTTGTTGAATGTTGGCTTGATCTTATTAAAACACTTCCCGCTGGTTGCAACTCCAGTTCGTCGTCTCTTCTCGTCATTTTGCCACAACACACTCGAGCAAAGGGACACATTTTTAAAACATGTTCTTGGACAGGAACTTTGGGTCTTAACCCTCCCTGCTAAAGCAGACTAAAACAAAAACACTCATTGACAGCGGAGGAAACAAACTTGAAGTGAGGTCAGTGAAATGGTGTGTGGTATGAATAGTGAATGAAGTTCTGTCTCTTGCTAGAGAGACACACTCAAGTCACACACACGCACAAGGCGACAAAACACTTACTTTCCTAGGAAGAGGGCGAGGTCCTCACCCCTGCATCAGAGTACTTGTTCTCTTTTTTTGTTTATTCCCTTCGGTCCGCTCAAGCACACGAACTGAGATGGATGGCAGCAGGGAGCCATAGTAACCAGGGGGGCTATTCTCCGTCGCTGTGGCTGAGAAAAAGAGAGAGGGAGTTAATCAACAACACACATTTTCACTCTGTCGTTACTCATTTCCTGACTATACACACACATTCACACACACACTCACACACACAAAACTTTATTGTACATTCACGTAGCTTGACACTTGTTGTGCTGTGAAGGAAAAGAGGCTCCCAGGGATGAAACAAACATTTAGAAAGTTGTTCCTGCTTGATTCAAATGGGACATGAATGCCCTCACAAACACACACAAATCTAACTTTCAGCCTTTACGTTAATGCCAGTTTTTGTTCACTAGGTTAGTGAGCGAAAACTAAAAGTTTCCCCATGGACTCATTCACAACAACAGTTTAATTCTAACGCAATTGCTTTCACGTGAATTGTTTCTCGCATTTTGACAATAGGACATCTAATATGATGCTGGTGTGAAAATCCAGCATTTATGGGTCATTCAGGGTCAGAGTTGTTCAGCAAAACGAACCACTAGCTCAGTTCTGAGGACAGGGATGTCGATTTTTGAATACTGCCTTAAGATAACAAGTGTAAACCCCATCCTCCTATACTACAGTCTATTTTACTCACTTAAAATTACCTAAAACTAGGACATTTAATTAATGGACTGTTTCAGTTCTACTCACAGCTGTGCTACTAATCATTTTTTTTAAAGTCAGCTCAAAATCAGAATATGGTGATTATTTGTTTGCTATAAAAGTTCTATGGTTTATTAAAAGATTAAGGAACATTTTGGAAGTTGTCTGACTACTTACAGAACTAAGACATTACCTAACAATGTTGAAACATAGTAACATAGCTTCGCTGCAATGTTACAGTTTTAAAGCGCAGGATAGTGTTACAATGTTGACATGCAACGTGCCAAAGTAGGACGTTACAGTAGTTAATTCATCCCTCAATTAACACTACACGAGTTACATTAAAACGCCACTTTGTGTTTAAGGACGCCGTGTGGAGAATTTATTGGTATTGTATTTTGACATATTTAGCTGTTTGTATTCACAAGTAATGTTAAAAACTTCCAAACATGTCCCTCGGGTTTGAATTTCTTAACGAACTGCGCCATCACCTGGTGCATGTCTTCAATCACGCCTTGACGTCATCACGAAGCGACAAGGAAGTGCTGCTACGCGCGTCCTTCACGATACTCCGCTTACACAACATGAACGGCGTTGTAAAAGTCAGGCGTTTGTAGTTTAGTTACAGTATTTCTGGTCATTTCTGGTGTTTCGTGGTTTATGGAGTGACAGGAGCAAACAGCAGCGGTGGTTGGGACAAATAAATAATTTTGGACGTTGCAGCGGTTAACTCGGTGAGTGACAGTTGAGTCCTTACAAGCGACACTCTGCTAACGTTACAGTCAGTTTACAACTGAGACATCTGAGAGCGATTGAAAGTGAATTATTTATAGTCTAATGCCAAAGGGAACACGGTGGTGTGGTCTCACGTAAGTTAAATTCAGATATTTGGTCTTTTGAGGCTGGCAGGATGTAAATGCAAAGCAAGTGGTGTTAACCTATAGGATGTCGTGTGAGGATAAACAACAAACTCATAGCATAGAGTAGCAAACGTATGACAAGAAGGAAGAGGCTATAATGAGAGCATTCCAAGTATAGGGTAATGCGTTTTTTTTTAGTGTAGAGTATCCACTTGTTCAAATGGGTCGTTTCAACTGTTTACTGGTTACCTCATCGTCAGAGTAGCCATGACTGCTCCAAACTCGTCGGAAAGAAAGGCCTGCTGGGACGCCAGGGATCAGCTGTGGAAATGTCTGGATGACAATGGTGACAACCCCGCCTCCTGCCAGAAGTCCCAGAGCGAGTTTGAGGCAAATTGCCCAGCTCAGTGGGTAAACTATCCCTTCTTTTTTATCTTTGTGATCAGGGAGGTATTTAGTGTAGACCATGAAGTCGGAAAGCATGAACCATAAGCATTGTTTAAAAATCACAATATCAACAATCTTTAAAAATAGTCATTTAAAATAATTTAGAATAGGCATTGACTCTCACATTCAAGTGAGCACACTCAGGTGTAAGCTGTATGCGGCCTACATTAAATACTGCACCGTTGCTCATCTTTTCTACCTCCCTGACAGGTGAAGTATTTCACCAAGAGGAGAGACTTCCTGAAATACAAAGAGAAGATGCAGACAGAAGGATTCAAACCTGCTGAAGGGCCCCGGCAACCTTCCTAACCCCTGGACCGCAGACTGTCAGAACCTGCGGACTGACAAGACTTTCAGCCTCATTCAGACCAGGGTCGAGGCGCAGGACTCTGAGAGGAGTCTCCTAGCTTTATTATGGACAGAGTGCCTGAACTCCACCTGTGTCGTTATTTATTTGTTTGTTGAAATAAAAGCCGCATCTTTAAAACGAGGGAAACAAGACAAGGACAAGTGACGGAAAAGATCCAGTTAGTTGATGATGTTGGAATACTATTGAGCAGCCCTTACTCTTATCCAGAGTGGTGGTCTACACTATATGGAGTTTGGGCCGAAGTCTTGATCAATTATATTCTACCAGTGTGAGTTACAGATAAACGCTGATCTTTACCGATTGCCGATACTCGCCTTTTAATTCCAGGACAGGACCCCATTAGGCAAAAGTCTGACTTGTGTTGTTTGTAAATAAAACATACAGTCACTGGTTTTAGTGGTTTTATTGTTGTGCGTGTATAATGTTTGTATCATCCTACCTCTAGTTTTCATCTGACGGGACATCAAGACAACACATAATTTAGGAATATTACAGCTCATTTGGAAACAGGCTTTATATTACAAATCTGTGTATTTACAAAAGACCCCTGGGTCAAAGGTCACTGCTGCAACACCCTCAAGATGTGTCAAACCTTCAGTAGAACTGAATAAATTACAAAATAAAAGTGTAGGCTTTTGATTCTGCCCACACTATAGGACCTAAGCTTTAAATGCAGTGACATAAAAAAAAAAAAAAATTGCAATTAAAATTTGTGAAAAAATACAAAGCACATCTTTTATATTTTTGCACAGTACAATGAATGTTATGTGCAAACCTTTTCAACATCAGACAACAGTTATTGTGATTTGACAGTTGATTGAACACACCTTTGTACCATACAACCCTGTGCTACCGCTCTCACTTTCCTCTGAGGCCTTTAGATGCTACATTCATCAACCACTCAGAACTTGGAGCCTCCCACATGTGCATTTCTTGTTAGCCCTCACATGCCAGGAGAAAAGTCCCACCTTGACATCAGACCAAACATCCTGTTGCTTAACACGCCAAAGTATCGCATCTCACAAAACACATACGCCTTTGTAATAAATAACAGGCTATTGATTCTCAATATCGGCGTTTTCTACCTGCTGACAAGCACACAATTTCATTTGTTAAATCGTTATGTTGGCTAATAAACCTCGTGACCTCAAGCTAGCAAAATACCCTCTGATTTTATGACTTCATAGACAATTATGGAGATTTCCGATGTATTCAGTATGACCCCCCCCCCCAAAAAGAAAGACTGAAGGCAAAAAGGTAACTATGGAGAGGACAATTAAATCAAAAGCACCTGGCTGAATACACAGAATAATGGCAGGAGTGTCTCCTTCCAAACTTCAAGAGAAGGGAAAGCTCAACAATCGAATTAGCATAAAACACACAGTGGTTTGATTGGTCGACAAACGCTGGACTTTTTATACCTTAAATACAGTACAGCGTACACTCTTAATATTCGGTATCAATTGCACAGTAAAAAGGACGTACACTCCTGCTTTCCATAATTTAAAGAGGGTGGTAGTGAACCCAGCTCCTGCACTGCTCTGAGATTAAAGCAAGGCAGTAACACTGTCATGTGTAGTATGACAGGAAAAAAAGGCACTAGTGGGTACTGCGAGTTGCTTGTTCAGCATTGACAGTGTGATGGGGCACAGAATCAGCACCAGAAACTTTGGTAAAGACATCAGGCACATGTTTAGACACCTAGATTTCCAGAGTAATTAATGCAGGCAGCCTCTGAGTACATCCAAGCTTCTACCTCTTTTAAAAACACATATCATAATATGAGATACCGGGTAGATCTGACAGGCTTGACGACAAGTAGCTCTGTGGATACAGTACAGTATCAGCCGTGGCAGAAGCCTCAAATTCCTTCAGCGAACATGTCACCAGCCCAACGTGTTGCAGTACATTTGAATGCAGCAGAAGTTCAGCAAGCACCCAGCTAAAAAGAGGCTAACTTACGCCGGCCATGTAGCTTATTTCTATCTAAATATCAAACTGATCCACAGAGGAAGGCATGATGTGGCTCTGTTTCTGTTATAAATCAAATAACAACATTTCCTGATCACCAAAAAAATATATTTTTTGTTGCTTCTAGTGACATCTTCAGTGATTCGGTGAAAACAGGCTCTCCATCAAACTTCGTTGATGGAGGTAAAAAAAATAGTTTTTGCTGGAGTCAGAGCTCCACACAGTTCTGCATTTCTCGTGATGCCCCCTTGTGGTCAATACAATTATCATTCTAATTATTACATCTAGGCAACAGGTAATGGTTGTTATCGTCCTTCTCTTCATCCTCCTCCAGGTCCAGTTTAATCCGAAAGGACTGGACTCTGAGAAACACCAACACCGTCCTCTAGACGTCACTTCCTTGTTGTCTTTCTTTACACTAGCACTCCCTTGTCGCTTTCTCTCTCTCTCTCTCTCCGTCTTCCAGTGATTCATCCCCCACCCCGGCGGTGGTTATAAGCTCCCGGTGATGTTCCTGGCCACCGCCCAGGCCGGGAACTCATTCAGGTCGAAGAGGGGAACCCCCCACGTGGTGATGGCCAACATCACCACCGCCACGCCGATCAGGTTCACCCCGAAGCCTGCTTTCACCTGGAGGAGAGGAAGAGGAAATGAAAAAAAACAGATGGTAACATGTTAAAAGAAGATTTGAAATTATTCAACTATGCGAAAATAAATGTCAGAATAAGGTTGAGCAAGAGTTAAGAATGAAATTTCTTCATCCCTCTGTTTACACAAAACAACTTTGACACACTGTGCTCCTGAGCCTTTTGAAGTTGCAGGTGCAGAAGGAGCATGTGACTGTGTGTGTGTGTGTGTGTGTGTGTGTGTGTGTGTGTGTGTGTGGGTGTGTGTGTGTGTGTGTGTGTGTCGTACCATGTCGCTGATCTTCACGTGGCCGTAACTGAAGACGATGGCGTTGGGGGGGTTCCCCACTGGAAGCATGACCCCGAATGACACGCACATGGTGGACGGGATCAAAGTGTGGAGCGGGTTGATTTGCAGAGTCTCTGACTGGAAGTAGGGAAGTGGGTCAAGAAGAACAATGGAGGTAGGGGGGGGGGGGGGGGGGGGTTATAAAGAGAATAGAGGAAGAAGAGACAGAAGGAATGTCAAAAGAAGATGAGGCAGGAGGTAAATGGAGTCAAAACTGCTTTCATAGGCCCTGTTTTCAAAGTGATGCTTCGTTCAAAATGGCCGCTTATGAGGAAACGTATGCGTGGACAGAGTAAGTTTTGCAACGCAGCCCTTTGTAAAGAAGACGACAGGTCATGAGCGTCTTTTAAAGGAATGGTTTGACATTTTTTCAATTAAATATCAAATAGGGTTGACACCGCTGTCATATCGGCCTGTTCAACATGAAGCTGAAGCCAGCAGTTGCTTTGCTTATCTTGGAACAAAATCCACCTTCCAGCACCTCTTATGCTCACTTAACGTGTTAAATATTGTTTGTTTAATCCTAATGGGACCAAAAGTGTAGTTATTGGTTGGTGGGTACTGGAGGACCAGGCATTGAGTGTAAGTGTGTGCGTGAGGGGTCGCGTGTCGTACCAGCGCTGACAGGATGGGCAGGAAGACGGTGAGAGTTGCCGGGTTGGAGGCGAACTCGGTGACCGCCGACACCAGCAGGCAGGCCAGCAGGGTGACGGCCCACGGAGGAAGACCGCTCATGGGCTCCAGCTGTCTGCCGATCCACACCGACAGGCCTGACACCTGCACACACACACACAGACAAAACACATGTGAGCATCCTCAAAGGTTGCAACCACGTCTCACTAAACCTCTACTGCTTTGGCCTAAAGTCCATCATTTAAATCAGGGTTGTGGATGCGGACAAAATCAGATCATCTGAACTCCTCATCTTCAAGCCATGACCTGAAGCTAATCTTGGAGATAAAAAAAAGAATTAAAAAAAAAAAATCGCTCTTCACCCTCAACAGTACTGCAGTACAACGACACACACATGCGTAGTACCTTGCAACCAGCAGCCAGTGCATAGCCTCCTCCCACCAGGATGACGATCTCCCACGGCATCAGCTTCTGGAAGTCCTTCCAGGTGATCATGGGAGCCAGCGGGTCGGACTCTGAATTGTCAAGTGTTTGAAAACCACAGAAAATATGTCAATACAGCTGGAATGCTAACGGGGTGACCTGCTGCTCATATAACTAAGTATTAAATAAGCGTCATATCTATGAATCATTTTGTCGTGGATATTCTTTATGTTACCTAAAAAAAACACACTTTTGTATTTGGTTGGTAATTTAGAAATACGTTTCTGCTGAATGATGTTTTTTTGCATTGCATTGTAGTATATAATATGTATGATAAAGACATTTTTAGTAATGCTTTATTTTACAGGTAATTACCAAGATATTTCATATAATGTATGTCATTTGGTACTGATCATAGGGAATATAGGGATTTCTCTGAAAGAAAAACTCCATATAAACCCAAGTTAAAATTAATTCATCATTAATTCATTATTGCAAACTATATCAATTCATATTAATTATCAATTGTAAAAGTTTAGCACTATTTTCCATAAAATTGTACTTTAAGAAAGGAGGACCCAATAAATAAAGCGTTACCACATCTTCTGAAGCAGTAAATACAGGTTAAATGTCCTGTTACATAACAAAGTCAAATTGTTGATTATGGTTTTGTCGAGTTTTTGTTTTGTTCTTTTATCTCTGTTTTTAACACCATAACATAAAATCAACCTGCACAGGCTGGTAGCAACAGCTGTTTGGAGCAGGCCAAGGAGACTGTGTATGATTGTATAACTTTATCACAAATAGAGGAAAATCATAATGGTTGTGGCTGACTTATGAATTGAGCTGCTGGACAAAGATTACTAAATATCCTTGTCTGAGGCAAAACTACTCATTTTGAATAAAGCTGAAAATATACATCAATATTGAGTTTTCCTCTCCCTTCTTTGGAGATAAACTAAATGTAGAGCAGCCGTATCAAAAACTGCCAGCTGGACGGGTGTGTGGTCATGACCTGTGTTCCTACAGCTGGAGGAGGAGGAGGAGGAGAAGGGTCGCCTGGCAGGGATGAGGAAGAGCAGGAAGCCCAGAAGGACAGACACTGTCGCATCGGTCCTGTAGCCTTTCCTGAGGGAGAAAACACCCACCGATGGAACGCAGATATAAAAGATGCAGAAGAAGAAGAGCTTCCAAACTCTTTGCATTTATCTCGCCATCGTCATGGTTTAGCACGATAAGTGTTCTTATGGTGCTGATTTTGTGTCTGACAGTGTGTGTCTGATCATTAACTGTGGTGCATTATGGGATCTTACTTCTCAAAAAGAGATGTCCAGCCGGGCACGAAACCAGGCTCTCTGGTGAACCACAGCAGAGTCATCAGGATGAAGAAAACAGCGGTCACCACCTCTGGGTAGCTGGGAGTCACACACACAGAAACCCGCAACAATTACACGAGTGATTTAGCTACAACGTCCCGTCTGGGTGTGTGAGTAAGACACACACACACACACACACACACACCGCTGCCAAACGTCTTAAGTTGTTCATTGGGACTTTAAAAGCTTTTAAAACATTTCTTTTAATGTTTCGTTGAGATATTTTTGCAGCGTTTATAATTGCGTACAAGAGATAAATTAATGGATTTTCCCATGAATTATGTTAAAATAATAAATATTTTCTGTTGCTAAGACCACTTTGAGATTATCTTCCTTCCTGGTGTCTTCATGTTGTTTGTCAGTGACAGGAATTGACCAAATTCCCATAAATACAACTTGAGATATTCCAGGGACATCCAATCAGGAAAGCCAGGTCAGAGAAACCCACCTGATGGGTCCCAGTTTGGCATACTCCTCCTGGATCCTCATCTCCGACAGCATCTCTCTCCTGGTTTTGCGTTTCTTACTCCACGAGCACGTTTCCCTGAAACTGAACACACACACACACACACACACACACACCACAACAGAATCAACCACTCTGTTTTTTTTAACCTGCAGCCACAGGACACCAACAGGCGCGGTGGCCACAACGGCTGAAGGACAGAGGGATTATCGTGAGTCAATAATGATAAGATGCATGATTGCAACACCAACGTAATCACACAGCACACTAGGACACACACACACACACTCACTTGCAGCCGAGGAAGAGGAAGTGCAACCACAGCCAGGTGAGGACCAGCATGATGATGGCGATGGGGAAGCTGAAGATGAACCACGTGCCGAAGTTTATCACCTTGGCGTCCGGGTAACGACTGAAATGACAAAGAAAGGGACGCAGAGTTATTCAACCGCGTGTGCAGGCTGTCGTCCTTTAACACTCGTTTCATACTGTGATGGCTAGAAATGACCTTTGCAACAGGAGAAAGGAAGAGGGCTGATAGGATATGTGGTGTTAATTTAGAGAAACAGCAGCACTAATATTAGCAAAGGGCCGCCAATCATTGACGACAAGGTCCATCATTGAATAACTGTTTATGACATGTAAGTGTGTGATATATTGATGTTTCTTTAAAGGCTGAACCTTGTGACTACTGACAGCGCTCATACTGATAAAAATGGGAGCTTATCCAAGTCCAAAATAACCATTTGTCCCCCATCAACCGCTCCCCCCCCCTTGACCTCTGGTCTCTGCTTTGACTGACATCTGTTATTCCCGTCCGTTGATCTGCGCAGCAGCACAGCTGACTGTCCACCCTGACAGCAATATACTGTAGATAAGCTGCTCTTTAGCCTCTTTGCAGATCTTCTGCGGGGTTTCTGGTCAACGTGCAATGTCATGAAAAAGGTAGTATGTCCCAATTGAACACATACTGCATGCAACAGTATGTACTTTGTAAGGGCGGCTATATGTCTTCTAATACTGCACGGAGGAAGAGTAAGAAGCGGAACGTAACGCAAGCCTTTTATTTTATAATTTAAACTTTAAACTTTTAATTTATAGGAAATCCTATGTCCACGAAATGGAAGAAAGAAAATGGACAAACTCTGAAAGTAGAACAAAAAGAAGCTGGTGATGACAGTAAAGCTACACAATCAGTGAATGCAGCACTTGTTTTACGTACAGATTCAGGAAGAACTACGGCCTAGAAGAAGCAGCAACTGATATAAGCAAGAAGCTACAACTGATGATCATTGCATACCCGGTAAATATTCAAAGGAGGAGATTTGCTGAGCATGCAAGTACGTGATCGATTGACCTTGTCGTAATAGCATGGGCTTGTTGCTATGGGCTTGCACTCACAAACACCGACCTCGTTCACCAGGGGTGAATTTGACTAAAATGAACTCAAAGTTAAAAGGTAATATTTAGGGAGTTTGTTTTACAATATGTTGCTTGGATTGATTGACTTGAACTACTGCTCACACACACACACACACACACACACACACACACACACACACACACACACACACACACACACACACACACACACACACACAGAATCAAAACCTGACCTTTGTCCAACAAGCTGCTACATGAAGGAGGCCATTCTGCCGGGCTTAGTGCCGCGGCTGGAGGAAATCGGCTCTGTTAGGACCGTAGGGGCTGATTAGTTTGATCTCAGACCCTGTGAGTCCCCCAGACACCGGGTTAACATGAACTGTCTCGGTCTGACAGCACAGCAGCCAAGAACTCAATCGAGCTGTAAATAAGCTTGAGTTGAGATGGTGTCTGCCGGAGCTAATACCCGACCAAAATACCTGTCTGATACTAGTTTTTAAAGCTGCTTGTAACATCTATTCTCACCTTCAGCGGATGGTGGATGCTTGTCAACCCAGAAGGCTTTTAACTGAGTGTGTGTGTGTGTGTGTGTGTGTGTGTGTGTGTGTGTGTGTGTGTG